GACCCCCTGTTTTTTTTTTTTCCTTTTTTTTTTTTTTTTTTTTTTTTTGAGAGGTTTTCGCTATAGGGCACCTATGCTCGCCAGACAGACAGAGAGAGACAGAGACAGAAAGTGAAAAATCACCCCCCCGGGGGGATGGCCACGCCGCAATCCTTTCTCCTCCATTCTCCTCTCGGGATCTTGGGCACGCACGCACACGCGCCCGGCGTGAGTTTTAAGCCACCAGGTCCGGGACACAAACCGTGGTCGATTACGTGAGAGTCCAGCGACATAGCCATTACACTAACTGCTGGTCCCAAGACTCTCTGTTTCTAGAAAAACCAGAATAGCCCCAGCTTACCTCAGAGTCCTGCATTCCCAGCTTGTTCTAGTTATTCTTGAAAACTACAAGAAAAACAGTGGGGAGAACTGAATTAACCCAAGATCTCCCAGAGAACTGTCCTATGCAATGAGCCAGGGCCTCAGCCTGGCAACCAGGAGGAGCAGGGGGTGAGCCCGGAAGGCCTGCCCTGGAGAGATGTTCTCCTTCCAGGCCTACCCAGTGGGGAGCCATCCCTCCCTCACCCCCCACCACCCCCCAGCTCTGCGCTCAGGCAGAGGTCAAGAGCATTAAGCTCCTCACGCCCTCTGTCACCTGAAGACCTCCTCCAGAAAGTGTTGCAGATGGCACGTCCACGCAGGTCTGGGCACGCAGTGCATTGAAGCAGGCTGCTCACCTTCCCTTCCTTCCCCCTTACCAGCCAGTCTGTTAAAGCAAGCCTCTGGGAGCACCATCCCCCAGCCAGGAGCAGAAGAGCTCCCGTCTCCTCTCCCCTGCCTGGAAACATCTAACACCGGGGTGGAAAACCCAGTCTACCCTGCCTCTTAAATTAGCAGGGTAGAGGAGGCCTGCCGCACCGTGTCGAGGATTCAGATGCTCATCCCTAGATCGGGGGGCTTGCAGACTCTTGGGGATGTGTGGAGGGCTTTAGTCATACTTCCTTTCACCGCCACGCAGTTGGATGGAGGGGGGAGCTGGAATGTGGCCTGTAATTGTGTCTGAGGGCTGCCGTGACAGAACAGCACACACTGGGCAGTTTAAACCACAGACATTTATCATCTGCATCCGCTTGGGATGGCAGAAGTCGGAATCCAGCAGGACAGCCCAAGGGAGGATCTTCCCTTGCCTCTTCTAGCTCCTGCAGTCCCCAGCAACCCTGGGCATCCATTGACTTGAGGCTACTTCACTCCCATTTCTGCCTTTGCTGTCACATGACAGTCTCCCTGAGCCTCGGTCTGCCTCTCCCTTTTCTTATAAAAGCACTAGTCATATTGGATTAAGGGCCTCCTACTCCAATATAATCTCACCTTCACTTACACCTACAGTGTAAGTACTTATTACTTCCACAATGACCCTGATTCCAAATGAGGTCGCATTCTGAGGTACCAGTGTTGAAACCTGCACATGTCTTTTTGAAGGACATGGGTCAACCCATATGCTGCAGCACATGGGCAGGCCCTTCAGAGCCTTTAGAGTTTATATGCTTTGTTCAGGAAAATCCGTAAGAATACACATGAAGGGATTCCCAAATGCATCCTCTTTGTAAAACACCAGTCATTGCACTAACGTGAAGGTCGTACCTCCTGGAGGAACCAACACGTCACCCTGTGGCACACACCTTCACGCACTCACACACATGGGCCGGGAGACTCTCCCCAGAAGGTTCCAAGCAGCTCCGTGCATAGTGGCAAGACATTGGAAATGGTGCAAGCGTCTATTAAAGAGAGGATCCAGGTGCTGTGATCTGCTCATCCTTGGCATACGCCACAGCCATGCCTAACGAGTGAAGGGCGGAGACACTCATCCATCTCTGAAACAGGATAGAGGGTAGCGTTTACACCACACCGGAATACAAAAGCCATTCTACAACTTACGGATACTCCCTCCTTAAAGGCAAAGTGAATGATACAAAGTTTTTTCAAAAAAAAATAAATAAAAAGGAAGGCAAATGGATGAAGGTCTGGCTGAAGGATATGAATGGATGGCAATGCTATAAAGAAAAGCCAGGGCTTGTTGCAAACAATGGCTATGATAATACCCTTGATTTGACCTTCGCACGCTGCATGCCTGCTTGGAAAAACCACGTTGTACGCCACAAAGATGTCCAACAGTGAAATGCAAATCAGCCATTATTAAAATGAAAAGCACAGTTCCAGGTGGGCTTCCTGCACCCTGGTTTACTAATCCGCCCAGACTTGGTTTTTCCTCCAGAGCCTATGAGTGCCCGTGGTCAGCAGGACACCTTCAAGGCCCTATTAAAGGGTTCTGTGAAAATACACGCCTCTGCAGGTGACCCTGCCTCCCCCACCCCGAGCAGAGCCCAGCTGCCCAGGGCCCCCCAGTGCACCTCTAGTGCACCCAGCTCTGCCTCCTATGGGAGTCTGAGCAGGCCTCTTCCCTCCGATGGCCTGGTCTCTGTTCACACCCTGCCGCGGGCTGCCATCCTCAGTGGCGGGCAGGTAGATTTGGAATGATGCTTTTGGCTCTCTTTTTGCAGCAGCCCAGTTCTGTGATTATCCTAAGTGCTTTGCGAACTGAAAAATCGCCTTTTTGCTCCATTTTTAATACAGACAAAGTCAGTTTTCTAAATGCCCCTGTTCATCCTGGAAGGCCCATCCGGAGTGTCTACCTACCTGGAAGTTCTCCATAAATGGATAAAGGAATAAAGGATTCTCAGATGACACCTTTCCCAAGACGTCCTCCTGGATTGCCCTGGCAATTGTATATTTTCAGTCTTTGCAGAAGGTTGGGTTTGATTCGTACTGAAATAAACCGTGGAAAGGTGAACAAAGGCAGAGATAGCACTTAGACCAAAAGCCCTCTTCCTCTCCCAGATCACTGTGTCCTGTGAGACAGCGTAGAAGGGGAAAAGTCCTTGAAGGACCCAGATACCTGTCCTGGGTGGTGACTGAGCACCCAGAACTGTGGTGGGCCAGTGCAGGGAAGACTAGGAGGCGCAGGGGGATAGCAGTCAGGGGTGTCTCTGGCATGACGCTGCTCTGCAGGCTGTCCTGGCCCTGCCCTCTCCATGCCCTCCACGAACAGGACTACAGCGAATGGGTGGCTGCAAATTTGCCCTCTGTGATGTTGACAGACCCTCCATCAGGGGCTTCTGCCAACGAGCCCCATTCTGCCGTTTTAGCAGCAGGCCCAAGAAATGGCATTTCTGCTTCGAGAAGCTCAAAGCTGCTTTTTAAAGGAGGCTGCTTCTATCACATTCTGAAGCCTCAGGCACGTCTTGAGTTGTAGAAATTTTAAAACCCAGCCTCTGCCTCTTCATCACCATGGCAATAGGTTCGCCATCCTTCCAGCTGTTCCCAAGTATTGAGTGTATCATTTACGGCTCTCGAAGGAAGCTGGAGCTCTCCTTATGAGGGTACCCAAAGTTCCATGTGGAAGCATCATTGATATTTAAGGGACCATGGTTTTTTCAAAATCAGTGATTTAAGCAGAGAAAGATTTCAGTCATTCTTGGCATGAGTCCTGCAGATCCTACACACCCACCCCCCTCTGGTCCTCGTGTGTAGTCCCTGGGATCTGAGGGCTGTTTTAAATATGCAGAAAACCAGAAGGAGCTGGAAGGAGCCAGAAGGAGCCTGAGGTGCCTCCTGGCCTGCTGCACCCGTTTTATGCTCTGGGCTAGAATTGCTTTGGCAAACCCCATGAAATTCTCCAGATCTGTTTTATCCGCCGGCCCCTATTAGTAACTCCAGCTGACGGTTACATTTGTCTTTCATTAATATAAAATGGAGAATTAATTATTACTTTACAAATGCGGCAAGCTTAGAAAACCATCACCCTTGGAATCTGGGAGATCAGAACAAAGGGACTCTTTGGAGCCAGCAGCCTCTTTCGAGCTCAGGGCAGGTTGGGGACTGAGGTAGCATGACTTGTGCCACCCTGACAGACACTCGGGTGGAGGAAGGGTGTCATAAAAACAGGCGCGAGTATGTGAGTACTTTCTTTAGCAGCTGGGCAGCTGGAGGGGCCTTTGGCTAACAGGCTGCCATCTTTGTGACCCACCTCTAAAAATGGGTGATGTTGGCAGAATTTCAGGGGCACCAAAGCTCCCCTCAAAGGCTCTTGTTGGTCTAATGACTTTTTTGTTGTTGTTGTTATTTCACTGTGAAAAAATACCTACAAAACTTATCACTTTCACCATTTAAAACCAAACATTAAAGTGACGTTTAGTACATTCACAAGGTTATGCAGCTGTCACCACTATCTAGTTCCAGAATGTTTTCAGCACCCCAGAAGTTCCAGTAGCATCCATTCCTGCAGCCCCTCCCCAAGCCTGGTAGCCACTGATCGATCTGCTTTCCTTTTTTTTTTAATTATTTTATTTTCATTTTAATTATTCATTCATTTATTTTAATTTGACTAGAGAGAGACAGACAGAGAAATTGAGTTAGTAAGCCACCAGGTCCAGGACCTGAACCATGGTCAGCCATGTGGGAGTGTCCAGTGCTTTTTTTGTTGTTGTTGTTATTTCACTGTGAAAAAATACCTACAAAACTTATCACTTTCACCATTTAAAACCAAACATTAAAGTGACGTTTAGTACATTCACAAGGTTATGCAGCTGTCACCACTATCTAGTTCCAGAATGTTTTCAGCACCCCAGAAGTTCCAGTAGCATCCATTCCTGCAGCCCCTCCCCAAGCCTGGTAGCCACTGATCGATCTGCTTTCCTTTTTTTTTTAATTATTTTATTTTCATTTTAATTATTCATTCATTTATTTTAATTTGACTAGAGAGAGACAGACAGAGAAATTGAGTTAGTAAGCCACCAGGTCCAGGACCTGAACCATGGTCAGCCATGTGGGAGTGTCCAGTGCTTTAACCACCACGCCACCTGCTGGTCCCCCACTGATCTGCTTTCTATCTCTGTGGACTTACCTGGTCTGGAAGTTTCTGTGAATGGACTCACCATATGTGGGCATTTGTGTTTGGCTTCCTTCATCCGGCATGATGGTCTCGAGGTTCACCCCGTTATGGTATGGATTGGTGCTTTTGTCCCTTTTGATGGCTGAATAATATTCTATCTTCTATATACACGTCTATATGTATCCCATGTTACTGGCATATACCACATTTTCTTCACCCATTCCTCAGTGGATGGACATTTGGGTTGGTTCCTCCTCCATCTGTGCCTGTATTTGTCTGATGCCGTGTTGTTGTTGTTGTTGTTGTTGTTGTTGTTTTAAGAGGTTTTTGCCTTAAGACATGTGCACTCCCTGGAGAGAGAGACAGATCGTGAGAGGGAAAGTGTGAAATCCCTTATCCTTTATTCGCCTCCAAGATCTTGGGCGTGCATGCATACACACTTGGCGTGATTTTCAAGCCACTGGGTCGGGATCTCAAACTGTGTCTGTCAGCCATGTGGGAGTCCAGCGACATAACCACTACGCCATCTACTGGCCCCCTGATGCCCTGTTTTAAGTTCTTGGGGGCATATGTGTACTCAGGATTAGAATGACCAGCCCTCGTAGCGACTCTGTATTTAACTTCGTGAGTGGGGCTGGCTCTGTGGTGCAGTGGTGATACACTGCTCAAGAGAAGACAGACCCCACGTGGCAGCCAAGGTTTGAATCCCCAGCCAGGTAGCCTGAACCACACCAGACTTGCACCCGAGTGTCCCAGATGTGACAGACTGGAGGACTGCAGGAAGGGGATTGCACTGTGACCAGACACTACAGAGGATCCCCTCTCTCTTTCACTCTCACATGCATGTGTACTATCATGGATAAGGAAAAATAAATTTCAGAAATATACACTTACCTTACTGAGGACCCTCCAGTTGGCCATGGCCCTCTGTGGGTGTTTCATGTCTCACAAGGGTTTGAACTGAGTAGCTCCAGCAGCCTCCTGGGAACCCTGGCCTCTCTGCCATCAGAGTGCCCAGATTTCTCTCCCACTCTGACAGTCCTCTGCCTTCAAACGCAGTCAGGCATGCTTTCGTTTCTGTCTCTTTTGTTCTGTAACACTCCCCGACCTGAGCCTCTGCCCAGAGCCTCTGCCCAGGCACCACCTGAGTAGAGAGACTGAGAAGCAGGCTCCTGCCAGGCCTTCCCTGGAGCCTCCGACCCGGCAAGACTATGAACAGCCATAGACACAGTTCCTGTAATCCCTCCACGTGGCTGGGCGCTTCCACCTACAGGACCAGGTTCCCTAGAGAAGCCTCCTGTTTCGTTCCAGGGTTCTCCTGATGGAGTCCCCCTGACCACGGTCGGCTAACCACAGAAAGAACTCTCTCTGAGCGTGAAATTAATTAGCATCAGCTTGTGTTTCCATTATCTCGCTATTCAAAACGTACTGCATTCCTGGGGACTGCATTGTGAGTGTTATTTATAGCTGGTGGAAGGAGGTTTTGCGTAATAGACGTGTTGAGCTGAAAGGTTTGTAATTTGAGATCAAGTTCTATCATGGGCTGTAAACAGAAGCCACTAAACAGGATTGGCTTTGCACTGTGAATGAATTTCCAAGAGCCTGGAGCCCCTCCTGTACTGAGGTGGGGAGCTGAGTAGGCAGAGAGGGCCCAGGAGGAAGCATCACCCCTGTCTCTGGTAGAGCAGAGACTTGGCGAAGATGGAGGGCAGTTCTCATTGTCTCCCTACTGCCGAGCCTGTGTGAGACCTGCCCCCAGGGCCCTTCATGGCCCTATTTTACAGATGAAGAAACAGGCTTGGAAAAAGTTGGGGAACTTGTCCAGGGTCCCAGTAATTAGAGGTATACAGACCTGCCCCTGTAGCCTGTGCTCCCCATCTTAGTCCCTCATTGCTAACGGAAATACCCGAGACTGGACAATTTATCAAGGACGAGAAAGCTACTCAGCTCACCGTTTGGAGGGCTGAGGTGCAGGGGGACTTCCGAGACTGCAGCGTGGCAGAAGGCAGGGTCTTGAGCAGAGCAGAGTTCATCGTTTCTCTTGGTGCTGGTCTGTGTCCACGGGCTCTGCCTGCCCCATTGCCGCTCCTTATAAACACACCAGAACCCAGTCCTTCCCCCAACCATGACCAACTCACACCCAAGGCCCCACCCGAGGCACTGCAGTGGAATTATTCTTTACTCGGCACCTTTATGACATAATCGAGTTCAACACATGACTTGTGTGGGACACGAATCACTGCCGACTGAGGCCAGATTCCAAGACATGAACTTCTGGGTGACAGACCATTATCCAAACCATAGCTACTCCCCTATCGAGAGCTGGCGTCCCCACCCCTAGGTGGCCTCGGGAGCCGCTGGGTCCTCAATGTGGCCAACGAAGTCACTCCTCTGTAGCCCAGTAAATGGCTGAAAAGAAGTTCTTTCCTCAATGGGAGGCCTGAAAAAGACCTCACGTGTCCTAGTGAGAGTCCCAGCAAGAGACTGTGGCAAATTTACCTTTGTTTCTGTGGAAAAGGTGCCAGGAGTCAAACGTGATGGGCAGTGGGCAGGAAAGCAGGTGCTTCCTTTCCTGTGTGGCCTTGGGCTGGTCATTCAGCCTCTCTGGTCAGAGCTGCTCACTCTGTCCCATAGAAACACAGGGATAGAGCTAGAGATAGCTTCCTTTCTAAGGGATGGGGGGCGTGGGTAAAATGCTGTCCACTAAAAAGAACACTCAGTGGCCTCTTCCCGGCTACCTTGCTTGGCTGGGACCCCTTTCCCTTAACTCTGATCCTGAGTTTTATAACACTGGGTAATGTGGGCCGGCAGTGGAGTAGCAGTTAAGGCAGCTGGACCCAGACCCCATGGATGGAAAAACACACTGGGTTCATATGTGTGCATGCCCCAAATCCCAAGAGATGAATGGAAGAGAAGGGATTGGCCATCCCCCCGGGAGAGGGGAGGCTTGCTCATTCATTCTCTTTTCCTCCCTCTATCCCTCCCACCAGCAGGCACACTAGCAAATTAAAAAAGAAAAAAGAAAAGAAAAGAAAATAGGTACTATATCTGCTTCAAAACAAAACCAGTCAGTGTCCAATCACAGGATGGTGCCCCGGGGCATGAGAAGTTGCAGTTTGTATCTTGGACAGGCCAGAAGAGGGTGCAGGAATCCAGCCCCTCCAGGCCAACCCGCTCAGATCCCTGGCAGCCACGTGCTGCTTCTGAGAAGTCCCTGGAGCAAAGGCTGAGAAGCAGGTCCTAGGGCCAGGGTGTACCTGGGGCCTGGGCCCAGGATGGCATATGGGGAGGGGGAGCCTGAGGGTGACCAGCCCCTGGGACCTTCCTGTCTGCCAGTTGGTCACCACTGACCTTCTGGGGAGGCTGGGCCCAAAGCTGAGCCCAGAAACCAGTTGATCTATAAAATCTTCCCGGGCTTGTGGTGCGTGACCAAGCAAACCCTGGAGTTACGTACTTCTCTGATGAAGACGGAGTCGCCTCCTCCAAACGGCTGGAGGCAGGTGCCGAGAGCTCAGATCCTACTGTGGGGTTTGGATTTCCATTGACCCTGGCTCTGGTGTGGGGCTGGACTGGGAGCACAGCCCCCTGGCCCAGCCCTCCTGGATACCTCACTGAGAGCTGCAGGTACCACACTATGGTGTGAATAGCCCATGGTGCCCCTCGCCCCTCCCCAGGGCTGGGTGGGATTAAAGGGCTTCAGGTCCAGTGATGAGAACATTCAAAGAACAAAGTTGCTCCAGGAAGCTCTGTCCCTCCTTCCTGCCTCATCCTCCAGCTGCCTGACCCAGTAATGGTGACCAGGGCCAAAGAGCACCCAAGGCTCCAGGAACAGAGAGCCTTTGCTCCATTTCAGTTCCACACCTGCATGCCTCTTAGCTCTGTGCCAGGTCCTGGGAGTTACAGAGATGACCAGGACTCAAGGCTGCCCTCCAGGACATGGGAGTCCCGGCAAGGGTCCGAGGTGTCATGGGTGATGGTGATGCAGTGCGGTCTGGGATATGTGAGGATGTTTGTGGGATAGTGGAAGCATGGGGTAGCCAGGGTTCTAGACATGGCCGACTAAGTTACTCCTCATGCAGAACCAGGACCCCAGGTGTGGCTCAGCCCAGCAGCTGTACCATCGCCAGGGAAGCCTGTTAGGAATGTAGGGCTCAGTCCCCCCCGGGGCCTGCTGAATCAGACCCTGAAGTCTAACGAGATCCCCAGGCAGTGATCCATCTGCACATTAAGGCTGTGAATACATTCCATGATTTTTAAAGAGTGGGTAGGAGTCTCTTAGATGGAAAAGATGGGAGATGGATGGTCAGAGGAGTCCGAACAGCACGTGCAAAGGCCCTGAGGCAGGAAGTAGCAAGATGCACAGAGGCACTGCTTATGGGAGGGCTTTGGAGGAGAGCTGGTCCAGATGGAGAGTGAGGAGGACCTTAGAACGGAGGGATGGTTTCCAAATGTGGCCATTTTCAGATGGGTCCTTGGCTGGACTAGGGCAGCTCAGCATGGTCTCCCCGCTGTCCCACCCCAAGGGTGCTCCCTGGGATGGGGCTCTGAGAAGCAGCCCAACCAACCGTCATCTGTCTGGGGACCACAGCCCTCTGATAGAGTTCCTCCCCAGAGTTCCTGAATGATGATTTTCCCGGCATCTTCCTATCCTGCAGAGGGAGAGAATAATAGATGACTCCAGGGGGAACCATGTGAATCCTGCGCTTCCTCCTGCTGGCTTCATGCTTGCAGCAGAGGCAGCAGGGGAGGGGGATCACTGAAGCACCGACTGCATTTCTCTTAAATCCAGTTCCAAAGGGAATGCGGCTCTGGTCCAAGCTCACAGCCCGGCTGCTGCAGCGACTACAGGTCAGAGCCAGGCGGCCTGCCAGAGTGGGGCGGTCGCCTCCCAGTTCCGGGTCCCCTTTGCTCTGCCTCCAGGAGGAAAGCATCCAGAATCAATGGGAAATGTGTGTCTGTAACTCAGTTTTGTATAGTGAGCCCAGAGAAACTGACTCGGCTTTATGTCCCCGGCCTCCCTGTGCACCTTGGGAGAGAGTTGGATACGGAAAAGTTCCGAGTGTGTCTGATACATCAGAGCTTGCACTGAGGGTCGTTGGAGTGGACTTTGCTAAAAATAAGGTCACTGGGAGGCCGCAGGCCATTAAGAATCGGAGGAGCCTGTACCCAGCGTGGCTCCTTGGTCCCAGTGAGCTGATCGCTGATGGGTGAAGGGAAATCCGAGCATTGAATGGCCCAAAAATGAGTGGTGAAAAGG